GACGCCGACGCCAGCTGGGCCGAGTCGTGCGAGAAGGCGACTGACGTGACCCGATTGCCATGGCCCTCAAGGGTCTGCAGGCACGCGCCGCTGCTTGCATCCCAGATCTTGACGGTCTTGTCAAGTGACGCCGACGCCAGCTGGGCCGAGTCGTGCGAGAAGGCGACTGACGTGACAGTACTGCTATGGCCCTCGAGGGTCTGCAGGCACGCACTCCAGCCATCACTCGTAGCTGGCCAAATTGAGATTCCTTTTGGCTCTTCGTGCTGAAACAGCCGTCTGATCAGGCTACCTGGCGGACTGAACAACAGCGCAGATGCATAGGTTTGAAGAGGGTAACTCTCGATTGCTCCTTTGTGATACATGACGAACCGCCGTGCGTCTTGAACGAGCCGAGTAAGTTGATCCTGATCCCGCATATCCTGCGCTTCTTAGCATCTAGATTATGTTGCAATTTGTAGGTCCTATACCTGCACTAATGACAACAGTTTCGCCATCGAGACTACACCTCTTCCCAGACTCTTGTAGAGACTGAGCCCCTCTAGCCAGTAGAGATACTTCTTTCTTACAAACTCGCTAACAATGCCAGTGACTTGTAGATAATCAAGATCGGTTGCCCAAGACTTAAGTTTCGAGTCGCATAGATGGTCGATCCAGTAAATGCACGGGTAGCGCGACGATGCTAGTGGGTCTGGTGTAGGCGGTTTAATGTCGTTAATAAAGACCCCTGGTGCTTCTAGGCTGTACATATCCCGCTGCAACGTCTTTGTTAAGATCACGAGCGACCTCGAAAACATAACACCATGAACGGCTTCGAAGCCATCTGGAAAGATCTCGCCAGACGCTTTCACAAGGAGGTAGTCTTGTGCAGACTGGTGCACAAAGTAGACCGTGTCTTCTCGCAGAGTGAGGAACGATCCACAGGAGCTGATGATCTCCTGCACCTCTGCTTCGTCGGCAACATCTTCGAGCAACTCCCTGAGCGTCATCAGTTCCGCCAGCGTGAGCGGCCGATACGCAAGCGCAACGGAAGCCAGCACCTGCTTGCAAAGCTCAGCATCATCTGATGCGCCAATCTGCTGCATCATCCGCTCGTACAACGCGTCCAGGCCTGGCGGGAAAGAGTTCAGTTTCTTCAGGACGTTCCGTTTGGCTGTCTTTTCAAGATCCTGACACACCAACGCTACCCAAAGGAAGGTATCGTTGGCATTCGACGTCAAGTGCTGGAGCACCGCGTTGTGGGTTAACTTGTCGTACTTCTTCAGCCGTACTAGTTGAGACACCTTGTGTTGGATGAAGACGCTGACAGCCGCCGACACGGACTCTGCGGTCAGCTCAAGGCTCAGCCGTACCTTATGCTCTGCCTGTTCGAGCTGTTCTTCAATGCTTGGCCAGTTGCGGCTAGACACTATCCACTTGACACGAGAAGAGGCAGACGACTGCTTTGCGACAAAGTGAAGCAGCTTCGGCAGATCGGTCATACACTCGTCAAGCGCGTCAATAAGTATGTAGGAAGTGCCCAGGCTTGGGTCCTGCAGCACGTCTACAAAAATCTCTGTCAAAGCAAACCATGCGTTTGCATCCTCGAACACGCTTTTGCCCGCCTTGTCGTACCTTTTGCGAACGTGCGCAGTGAGCGCTGGCTGCTGACTGACAAGCAAGTGCACCAGTCCGCGCAACACGGCCATAGCGCTGTTGATGCGCGAGTCCGTGGCTTGGCAGAAGAAGTAGGACACAGACGCAGTGCTAGCAACCGTCTTCTGCAGCTCGTCAATGATGCCACAGAGCAGCATCGTCTTGCCCTTGCCAGGATCGCCTTTGATCCACAGGAGCTGACTCTGTGGACCGTTGTGCCACTGCTGGAAGCTACTGTTGTCAAGCACCCAGCGGTACGAGCCCTCCAACAAGCCGCCCTTTGTGTCCTCGATGCGCTTCTTGTCGTCGCGGGGATCGGTAGGACGTAAGTCACGAAGGCACTGTTCCTGCTTCCGGACGTTCTCTTCCAGCCTCCGGACGTTCTCTTCCAGCTTCCGAATCTCGTCAGTAAGCCGTCTAAAGGCTCCCTCTGTGCCTTCACCATATATAGGCGCCACATCGACACCAAAGATGCTGGACAAACAGTACGCTGCGTCTTCCTTGAGCTTCGTGTGCCGGTTCTGTCCCCAACGAAATCGCTCTTGGACGCTAGATTGAGAGAGAGGAGCCCCATCAAGCACTGCGTAGGGGATGGTTGTCACTTCATGAATAATAGTCTTTAGCGACATCTTGTCACCGAGTCTGTGCCATTCGTGCGAGTAGAACTCGACCACGCCGGGCGCGAGAAGCTCCTGCAGCGTCCAGCCGCGCGTGAACCACTTGCTTTGTCGGAACTCTGAGCCCCAAGGCGGCGGGCTGGCTGCTCCTTCGACTGGAAGAGACGAAGCAGACACATCCGACAGGTAGACGTAGCATCGGGCTGCATTGCGGTACCAGTGGAACATGGACCGGATGGCCAGCGAGTGCTCAGCCTTGTTCGCCTTGTTGATGCAGCAGGTGTCGACCCAGAAGTACTGCAAGCCATCGCGCTGTGCCTGCTCTCTACACAGCTGGATCTTCCTATAGCCCGGCTTGCCCTTGCCCATGTTCCTTGCGAGATCGTCGAAGGTCACCTCTTCCTCGTCCGCTCCCCAGGTATGAGACAGGATTGCGTAGGGAGGTATTGCGTCTGCGTCGACCAAGTCATCAGTGACACTGAACACCCCATCTTCTCTGTAGTATAAGAGCCGCATCGTTTCGCCTGGACATGTGGTAGACGTGTGCGATAGCAGCGAGGCCCGAGCGACTTGACGCGGCGGCCTGGTAGCGAGAGCGTGCGGCGCCCCGTTGCTCTATCGCGTTCGTATGTCAGCAAGCTGAGGGCGACACGAGAAAAGCTACAAGGTCTCTGGCGAACCTGTTAGGCAACAGCGAACCGCGACGTTGTCGCAAGCTGAGTCTGGTGGTTTGATCACATTGTTGGCATGATAGGCTGAAATGAGGCAGGGCAGACGCGGTTGAGAGCACCCGCCAAGGGTCCAACCGCCAGGCTGACAGCGGCTAACACAGCGGCTGCCCACATATACCTTCCAGTCCGTCCCGGAACAGCGCCACAATTTGAGGCGATTAGACATTGCGTCAGATACAATACTGTTAGCCTTGCTGATCGTTTCTCCACCACATAAGCGCACTAGAGCCGGCTGCTAAAACACACAGCGCCAGGGACAGGTCTCCCCAACGCGGAGATAGCTTCGGAGTACTCACTTTCAGCGTCTGATTGTCTTTGCAAACTGGGACAGTGTGCGCCTTAGCTAGGTCTATTGTTCAAGCATTCTAGAATTGGAAAGAGCGTAGATGGCGGCAACAGAGCAGAGCCAGTAGGCAAAGTGGTCTTTGTAGCAGCGCGCAAGATGATCGCCGGCATGACCACAACCGTTGTAATTTTCCTGTTGTACTACAGAATGCAAAAGAGGAATGACCAAGGAACAGGCTTACACTGACTGCAGATCTGTAGATGCGTGTAGGGATGTATAATTTGCGTGGACGGTGGGTCCATCTCGCTGAGGGGCATTTCTCGCTTACGGGCAGGGGAGCTCGTGGCCTCCAGCTGAAGCTGCCTGGAGCGCGTTGCCGTAGTATCCACCCTGTTCATTGACCTTGGCATGTTTCTCAATCAGTGATAGTGTGATACGACTAGTGCACGCTTGGCGGCGCTTGGCGGCGCTTAGCGGCGCTTCACTTACAGAGCTGGACATTATAAGCTCTCCACCGTGTTCATCATACAATCCATTTCAACGCGTTGTCCAGAGCGATAACTACGAAAAAACTCGATTTGTCAACAAGTCAACCGAGCCTGCATCTTGCCACGACTGTGTACACACGGAGCCTACAGCTCAAAGCGATCATGGCTTGGGTGCCTGCTCAACTACCTTACCTCAAACCGCCCGACCTACTACCGGCCCCTCTACCTATCGAATCTCGTTTCTTCGAATCAACAGCCGTGTTTCGGGACGATGCATCCTATCACAGGGTGGTTGCGGTTGAGCCTCACTTCATTGTCAAATACGGACGGGGTGTTAAGGAGATCGAGGGCCAGGTACTTCTGTTTCTCGAGCACCACCTAGAAGCTTGCCATGGGTTGCCGAAACTCTACGCAATGTATCGCATAGCAAGTACGGGCCATGTCTGCCTGATCATGCAGCGCATGCCTGGTGTGTCACTCAATCAATTGTGGCCTACCCTCAAGAACTTCGAAAAATCCGATATTTGTACCAAGTTGAACGAAATCTTTACGTCAATCCGAAGTATCCCAGCTCCTCCGCTCTACGGAAGTATTGACCAAGGCCGGTTCCACCATTATCTGTTCTACAGCTCCGATGCTGACAAAGAAATATGTGGTCCATTCGACTCAGAAGACAACTTCAATGCGGCACTGGTAAAGCGTCTCCGGTCTGCTTCGGCACAGATGAGGAAGCATAGCTTTAAGGCAGACTTCTATGAGAGAAATCTTGGAAGGACATTAGTTGGTCATAAGCCTATTTTCTCGCATTCAGATCTGCAAAGAAAAAACGTGATAGTGCATTGGGATACATTGCAGGGCTTAACCGTCAGCCTAATCGATTGGGAGGAGGCTGGCTGGTTCCCGGCTTATTGGGAATACTTCGCTGCCCTGCAAGGTGTACAATGGGATGACGACTGGTCCCAGCGTATCGAAGAAATTATGGAACCTTGGGTCAGCGAAGCGGCAGTCATGAAAATGGTGCATCAAGACCTAATATTCTAAGCGATAATGTTCTTATTTGCTAGCTCTTTGATATATCTCAGCTGGCTAAGTTCAGAGCCATCCAACGGAATTGTTCTACGAATCTAGAATAAACTAGCAATACAAGACATAATCCCTCCAGAGGTTAATGACAACCTGTCTCAGCTTTCAACTATACTTCACAAAGTCGCGTTGTAGTTACCTAGTCGTTTCTCAGGCATGTCACTGCCAGACCCACCCCTGCCCGTTCCAGTAACGGTAACGCTTCTCAACTTCATCCCATACCCAACCTGTACTCACCGCCGCAGCGATATTTGCAACTTGGGCAGTCTGCGCTTGGCTACTGCCTCCCCCTAACGGAGCCTGGCCTAGATCGTTGTGCAGCAGCTGATACTGATACAACGCTGGGAGGGCTTGTTGTTCGGTCCATTCAGTACACTTGATGTACGGTGGTTTCTGCTCATTTGCTTCGTAGAATGACCCATTCGGTTTGATTTGCTCAGTGGCCATGGTCTTAGGGTTGAATGCCCTCTGACGAGGAGGTGGCGGCACTGTCTGCAGCACTTGGTCCAAACGCTCTGGGTAGTCTTCGAGGCGGATACGTCCGAGGTGGGTCTTTGCATAGTAGGTCTGGGATAGTTCTGGGTTTCGCCCTGATTTGTTTTCATATCTCATGCCCGAGACCAAATCGCCAGTAACGTGAAAGATTTGCCCTCCACCGTCTGCTTGCGTTTCGACAAAGAGAACATTGTGATATCTTGTCTCATTACCCATCATAGGGTCTTGCATTCCCAACGTGTATTGGACTTTGTAGACATTGTATCCGTAACCAGGCATTGTCGATGTGAATGTTGTGGAGGATGTGATTGTACGAAAACGTAAATCGACGTGGTATCTGCAAATAAATGAAGAATAAGGACCTGATAGTTAATTGGAGTGGTGCAATACGGAACTCTAGTAACATCTTATGTCTTATATACCCACGCAGTAATATTGCGGCGCATCCTCAGACACAAACTCAACTAAGCGCTTACATGAAACTCTGAATGTCACGAAGAAACGCACGATTAAAATAGGGCCATTACGAGTGTACTGAGAAGGCTTCTTCAAGAAAGGCCCTTGAGCGATACATAAGAAACTATTGTTGTGTTGACTTGAACAATGGACCAGTCAACCTCGGAATGGCTGGCGTAATGCTGTAACCCTGTGATACAATGAAAATTGAATAGCCTACTAACGTCCATCCCCGCGTAGCGCAAATCCCGGTGTACCGTAAACTACCAATCAGCTCGCGAGATTTATGGAAAAGTTCGTGACTCCCTCAAGCTTATTGGTCGTTTACGGTTACACCGGGATTTGCGCTACGCAGGGATGGACGTTAGGCTCCTTTCAATCTGACTTCTTCTTGTACTCCCTATCTACAGCGCCTTGTCTTGGGGTTAAGCACGTCATGTTGGTAATTTTCATCAGGGAAAGGCTGTTACGATAATGATAGAGGTAGATGCGACCCATAGAAGATGCGTGAGCGGAGCGTCACGTTATTATTTGCTTGAATAGGGTTGTAGCAGCTTGAAGCTGAAGTAGAAGCTGAGCGGGCGCGCTGGGGATTGCTTTGAGTGTGTTGCTGAGCACCGTGACGGCCGACTTTTCTTGAAATGTTCTGATATGCCATTCTGATAAATCAGCGAGGTTTCGCTGACACGTAAAGCCAACGGGGATGCCAATAGTGATTGATAGTTTGCCAAGAAAGCAATGACCCCTACCCTGCACATACGGTATAGCCGCGCGCCTCCTAGCGCAAATCTTACTCTGTCCATTTTCCGGATCATGTATACTGTTTGACATAGTATAAGTATTCTGTTTTCCGTTATCTAATTACCCGGTCCGGTTGCTCAAGGATCGACTCTTCTAAGCGCCCATCCCACGCACTCGCTGCGCCACGCTCAATCGTATGACTTCTGTGAACCAAGGTTGGTTTTGAAGTGTCTTATTTGGATTGTCTAAAGCCAGCTCTGTTCGCTTCTTGAATCACGTATACTGTTTGACATGGTGTACATTATCCTGTTTCCGTTATCTGATTCTCTGGTGATCCAGTTGCTCGATGATCGACTTCTCTAAGCGCCCATCCCGCGCACTCGCCATGCCAATGCGTCACGCTACCTTCAGTCCTTTCCGCACCTTATTGTTGTCGCCATCTTCAGGCCTTTTGCGTTTCCCTGTAATCCTGCGAGGACCAAATGAAGGGATGCCATGAACAGAAGTGGCATGGTCCCAGAAGTCTGATTCTGAGCCCAGCGTGTCTTTGCAGATGGGATGAGGACAGGCTTTCGGGGTCCCCGACTTTGCCAAATGACCCGTCATGTGCTTGTGGAGGTCGAACACGTCGTGATATTGGGCGAACCGAACTGACAGCGGTTTGGTGTCTCCCAAGCAGAACAAACAGTGCGCCGCGACCACGACTACTCCGCGTTCTTTGAGAAGTCCGCAAAAGTCGTTTAGACGTTGAAGGTGTTGAAAATGCAGATGGGCGTCCCACATCTGGTTGGAATGACACCAAACATCGTGCTCGTAACAGTAATGCATACTCGTATGTGTAGTCCAACTATTAGGAATATCATGCTCTTCTGAGATGTGAGTAGCGAGCTCCTCCTGGCTCTCGAGTATCTGATTGCAATCGTTCCAAAGACACTGGTGTGCTTTGTTCGCCTCCAGATGATCTGTGATGTGCTTCAAGTACGACCCGCACGTTCTTTTAGCCTGTGTAAATTGATAGTAGCAATCGTTCCAACGGCATGTCCTGATAGACACAAATTGGTCCATCATATGTTTCTGTTGCTTCTTTACTCGTCGACGTCGTGCACACTGGAGCAAGTGGCTATG